CATCTCTGTAAAACAAATTAAAATGTAGGACAATAATTACAACTAATTTCATTGAAATAAAGTTCAAGTAAAATGTTTCTCAAGCACAAATAACAATGCACACATAAAAAGAAAGTTTGGGAGGTTGGACAGGAGTCTCTCTCTCTCTCACACAGGTATTTCCAGTTACTTTACATTCAGTATAAAATCACAGACACACATATGCATACATCTGATTACGAAGTCTCATCTGTACAGAACAGTATGATAAAATAATCGATGGCAAAAACATGGCTAGAGCCACTGTAAATGTCTCCGTTGTGGGACGAATAAATGATTAATTTAATCATCTACACATGTAATCTCACTTTTACACACCAAAATAACGTTAACACAGAGTAAACGTTTGCTAATGGAGAGTCTATTTTGTCCCGAGAAAAGGTTCATGACTATCGATAAAAAATATCTCAATAAACCTATTGTTCATTTTCACCGTATTCCCCACACATTGCCAGTACACTATTACTGTAATATTTACACTTACCCATGTCCAAATGGATCCTTGTTGTTGTCTTTGTATTCTTCTTCTTCAGAAGAGTCGATGACATCAGGATCTGAGGCTCTATCTTCACTCCTGCTAGCGAAAAAAATCTCTAGCGAAGTCGGCGACTGTAAAGTTTATTTTAGCCATTTTCTCTGTCTCTCTCTCTCTCTTCCCTCACAGACGTAAACTGATGGGAGACATGTGGTTTATGTTTTTTTTTACTTGGTGGGGAGGTCCTTAGTGATTTCTCGATGTCCATTGGTCATTTCAGACCATCATGGCTGCCGGCCGAGATTTCCTTGACGGACACACGAATCCACCAATCCCACACAGTGTAAAGTCAAGCTGCTTTGAGCGGATATCTGAATCATATTTCTACTCCTTATAATCGAAAATATATTATTAATTACGTAAATTATGCGCACCTGGACGCGCCGGCGCCTCCACCGACTCCAGAGGGTTAATGTCTTTCATTTTTTTTAAAAAGCACTTTGAATTGCCTTGCCTTGCCTTGCCTTGCCTTGCCTTGCCTTGCCTTGCCTTGCCTTGCCTTGCCTTGCCTTGCCTTGCCTTGCCTTGCCTTGCCTTGCCTTGCCTTGCCTTGCCTTGTACATCGACCCACACAGTTGGCAGAAGGCCCGTGGTACAGTGTTTTCTTGTTTAGCTGCTTTTCAGATTATTAAGATACTCTGTATGCTAGTGTCGTTTTATTTAAAAGTACAGTAACTCAGAAATGATTTGAAAGCTTACACAACATCTTTAAACATTTCTATTTTACCTTATGTTGCAAACTCAAACTACGAGCTACAACTAAAACTGCTGCTCTGTATGGGCACTTGTGGTGGTATTTAAAAGAACAGGTGGCATTTCTTGTAAATGCTGAAGGGAGGGTGAACCGGGTTTGCTGTTTATAGTTATCTAAATGAACAATGAACATGCAGGTGGACTGGATATTCAAGCTGTGCTAAAAACAACCTGGTCTCACCAGAATGCGTGACTCCACCACGACTCCTTAACACCGCATTGCGTGGTGGAGTCACGAACTTTGCTACATTTACGTGTCTGCACCACGCAAACAACCCCAATTTAAAGTGAATGAGGCTCCTTTGTCGTGGTGCACACACGCTTTTCTACAACGTCCAGCAGTGAGCTTTTATTCTATAAAACGTTTTAAAAATCTACTTTATAGCTTGTAGTAACTCACGAGAGGCTTCTTTTATTTTATTTGTATTCATAATAATTTTTATTTTTCGTCAGAATGTATTATGGTGCATTATTCACCAATGTTTGTTCTCAAAAAACAATGCATTGTGTGTAATACAACTGTGATTTTTATTAAATTAGTTCGTTTTTAAGGAAGGCCAGAGCTTCAGCTGTGTCAAAGAGATTGTTCCCTTTAGTTAACGTTATTTAAAAGATAATTATATTCCTATTTGATTAAGTACCCTTTATTGTATTACGGACCCAAAGAGCTGAGCGTCCATTCCCATTGGATAACGGAGGATTTTACACCCGGAAGTAAGTATTCTCCTTACTGTCCATTGATTTTATTTACAGTGATATCTGCACTACTCATCTACTCAAAAACACCAGATTATCCTTGTTAATTACACAACATTGATTGGTTTAAATTGTGTGCAATGCTTTTGTATTTTCCCCTTTCGATTCGGAGAAACAAATATTTGTTCGTAGTGTGTGGATGGCAGAAGGCACTACACTACCCAGAATCCTCAGCTATGGGACTACACCATGTTCTTAGAACGTGTCCTACCCCCCCCCCCCCCCCCCCCGCCCCCCCCCCCCCTTAGGTCACAGGCTCCTCCGACAGTGCAACACAATAAAACAGATAGGCTACACAGAACAAATAGTGCAAGTAAATACAAAAAGAAAAATAGTAAAATAGTAAAAAGTGAAATAGTGCAATACGAGTCTATATACAAGTGATTGGAATATGATATATTAGATAAATAATTTCTAAGTAGCAGCCAGATGAATGTTATGGATGTTGTTTCTAAGTTCAGGTGTTTAATAGTCTTCTGGCCTGTGGGATGAAACTGTCCCTGAGTCTGGTGGTTTTAGTCCGGATGCTGCGGTACCGCCTGCCAGACGGCAGCAGACAGAACAGTTTGTGGGGTGATGGGGGTCTTTTATAATCCTGAGGGCTTTCTTTAAGGTTAACCTGGTATTTTTACTCCACTACATTTATTTTAGTTACTTTACAGATTTTGATTAATGATATGAAATATAAACAACCCTTAAATCAGACTTTAGTTACACCTGAGTAAAATTCAGTGAATTCAGCCAACAATCAGGCGAGATATTTGGTAGTGGGTGCTTGAGAAGACTAAATATTTATCTGCAGATCCCTATAAAGCATATTCATTACTCGTTATTCTCTACTAATAGTTAATTAAAAACTGTATATAATGGCTATTTTGCACATCCCTTTCAAGATTTCAAGATTTTCTAAGGTTTATTGACATATCATATACACAACTACGGTGTAGTTATGCAATGAATGAAACACTTGGGTCACAGGTTCCTCAACAGTGCATCACAAGACATCTATCGATATCTGTGTACCTCCACCATTAAACATATTCTGCACATTTCTTATACTATCTACATACATCTTATAAGAGTATAATTAATATGTATAATATCAGTTAAAATAAGTGCTTCAACATAGTTAACATTGAAGGAAAGTTGATTGTCAAGTTCCAAAACAAACCATGCAATATATTAGACGTTAAGTACTTTGTCAGGCTTAATATCTGTAGATACCCCCAAAGCTTTTTTCTTATTTAAAAGACGACCTTAACCTAAAGTATTCTTTCATGTTTAAATAAAGCCTTATAAGTTTGTCTGTTTTGCACATCCTCCTATCAGGCACTAAACTGTTTTATTGTAAAGATCACTTACAGTATCTTCTTGATATTTTCTATTCTATATTATTTATATCATTGACCTTCCACTTTCCCACTATATTAAGAGTATGTACTCTTAATATTTAAATGTTTTCATCAAATATAACACATTCAAAAGTGCTTTACAAAAATGAAAGACATTAAGAAAAAGGCATTTTAAAACAGTCATTAAAAAGCAACCCAATCTACCTGCATTGCAATTACTCTAAACGTGTAATAACGTGCTTTAACCAGTAGGTGGTTTGGGTTAAAAAGCTGTCAAGTTTACAGTGTTAACAAAATAAAATATACTGCTGTTTCTGGTTTAGTTTACGACGGATATATTCTGTTATTGTTTTGATATTTGTAACACAAAAGCGATGTAAAAAACCCACAGTAACACAGAAAAGATGGTCTTAACATGACCCAGCGGTCTAGTAGTTAATAAAAAACAATAATATCAAAACAAATTATTACTACTAACTTTATTGTGAAATTAAAATAGAACGGTAAAAGAATAGTTTCCGGTCTATTCTGAGGCCCGATCTCTGTAGATAAATAAAGAACTACGACAGATGTGTAATGTTTAATGCAGCCGAACCATTCATTACAATGCATTCATGTGATGACTTTCAAAGAGTAAAGCAAGCACTTCTGAATAAAGTATGATTTGATCTTTTACGAAACGTTTTTTTCATTGTAATGCAGTTGGAGGTCAACCAATCACAGAGCTTGAGGCAAAGCGGAACAATAGCTGAGGATTCTGGGTAGTGTAGTGTCTTCTACCATCCACACACTCCGAAAACATATTTGTTTCTCCGAATCGAAAGGGGAAAATACAAAAGCATTGTACACAATTGAAACCAATCAATGTTGTGTAATTAACAAGGATAATCTGGTGTTTTTGAGTTGATGAGCAGTGCAGATATCACTGTAAATAAAATCAATGGACAGTAAGGAGAATACTTACTTCACTTACTTCCGGGTGTAAAATGCTCCGTTATCCAATGGGAATGGACGCTCAGCTCTTTGGGTCCGTAATACAATAAAGGGTACTTAATCAAATAGGAATATAATTATCTTTTAAATAACGTTAACTAAAGGGAACAATCTCTTTGACACAGCTGAAGCTCTGGCCTTCCTTAAAAACGAACTAATTTAATAAAAATCACAGTTGTATTACACACAATGCATTGTTTTTTGAGAACAAACATTGGTGAATAATGCACCATAATACATTCTGACGAAAAATAAAAATTATTATGAATACAAATAAAATAAAAGAAGCCTCCTGTGAGTTACTACAAGCTATAAAGTAGATTTTAAAAACATTTTATAGAATAAAAGCTCACTGCTGGACGTTGTAGAAATGCGTGTGTGCACCACGACAAAGGAGCCTCATTCACTTTACATTGGGGTTGTTTGCGTGGTGCAGACACGTAAATGTAGCAAAGTTCGTGACTCCACCACGCAATGCGGTGTTAAGGAGTCGTGGTGGAGTCACGCATTCTGGTGAGACCAGGTTGGCTAAAAACAGAACAATAAAGGGCGTGAATCAACAAGTTCCAACGATGATTGAAGAGCTGAGAAAAAACACGACACAAGTAAAAGATTGTAAAGTGAAATGCAGATTAAATGCAACAGTTACATTTTGTATGCTACTTTATGTAGGTGTCTCTATCCAAAAATAATGCTTTTCTTGTGTGTTATGTGTAGACTGTGTAGATCTGTTGTATTTACATTAAAACCATTTTGAATAAAGTGACATATCAACATGTAGAAAAGTTATTTGTTTGCTATGTATAACTTTGTCATCCCGATTGTCCATAATGTTATTTTGCATTGTTGGTCTTTCTGTAAACACATCCACGTTTCTAAACATTTCTTTTACCATTTAAGGTTTTTTGGGGCAGTTTTTACTCATAACAATCTAGGGTCTAAGAATGAAAGGTTCTGTTTGTCGTAGAGTTTGTGGTTTTAGATGTTGGGATGTATGAATAAAAAATACTTGACAGACTAGAAACAATGAAGACTGGATAGGAGGAAACATTCAGCAAAACGTGTAAATTCTCTCATGATCTTAGATTTGTGTGTTTAGTCATGGTTTTATTTAGAAATTCTCTTCCCCCTGTGTCTGGACTTCCTTCCTGTGTTTACCCTCCTGTGTCTGATTGTCTGATTGTGTTCACCTGTTGTGTTTCTGCCTCCCCTGCCCAGCTGTGTCTTGTCCTGTGATTACCCTTCTGTGTATTTAGTCTTGTCTTCCCCTTTGCTCCATGTTCGGTCGTCGTCTTCCTTGCACCTCCATGTTCATCCCTGTTGTTTTTTTGTCCGGATGCTTCCTTGTGTTACCAGTTTATGGATTTAAGGTTTTTTCATTGTCATCGGATTTTGTTGAATAAAGCTCACTTTTTGTTATACTTTGTACCCCTTCTCCTCATTCTGCGTTTGGGTCCTGATTCTCCCCAACCCTGACAGAACGACCAAACCGAGAATGGACCAGATGGAGATTTTGAAGTGGAGTTATATTCACTTACCTATACGTTGGCTCTCTGCTATGGTAAGTGCAGGGGAGCGTCCAGTGTTGAGCAGAAAGGGGCTGCTCTGGCAGAGGCGCACCAGAAGGCAACAGAAAAATCAGGGTTGTTGAAGTTCTTACTTGCGGAAGAGGAGCCGGCGGGACCACCGGCATCAAGGTCCGAAATTCAGTTTCCACTCAGTTGTTTGTACAGTTTACAGTACTGTGTGTTATACAGTTACACATACACACAGTTATATTGAGAGGCAGCCATTCTAGCCGGCAGCAGGGAGCAGTTGGGGGTTTGTCGCCTTGCTCAAGGACACCTCAGCAGTGACCCAGGAGGTGAACTGGTACTGTTTCCAAGTCCAAGTCCCTACAGGCTGAACCACTGCCGTAATAATAGATGTTTGTAATTGTCCTCTCTAGCATTTTCTGATCTGAAGGCCCTCTCTACAGTGGCCTCCAAAAAGTTGGCCGGAGGCGGTACAGTGTTTTCTTGTTTAGCTTCTCTTCAGATTATTAAGCTACTCTGTATTCTAGTGTCGTTTTATTTAAATCCCTCGTAATGTCCTCCCGATTACTATGCACCTTGTGCCCTCTGGGGTCAAAAATGACCCCATCTGGCTTGTCTGTTATTTAACGCATAAAGTATAAAATGTGAATACATTTTGCGTTACACCTTTAGTTCTACTTCAGTACAACCCATAGCCACACATTTTTCCCTTAGTTTTGGAATTTAGGGCCGATAGACCCTTATTTATATGAAATTATACCATTTTCTGATTTAAAAAAAAGTGAAACAATGAATGAATTTGACCATATTGTATTGTGACTATTTGTCTTATCACAGACTGGTATATGTCAAAGTTTAGTAAGGATGCCCTTTTTGAATAATTTATATTTTTTTAATGACAACACATAATCACACCTTGTGCCCTCTGGGGTCATTTTTGACCCTGTCTGGCTTGACTGTTATTTTAAGAATTTAAAGTGGAAACCTCACGCATTTCTGTGTTACACATTTAATGCCAACTTCATTCAAACACATTGAAAACCATTTATTTATTCCATTTGGAATTTAAGGAAAATTAGACCTCATTTACATGAACTCTTACCTTGTTTTTGATTAAAAATACATAAAATCCCCAATTATTCTGACAATAGTAAATGATTACAGTCGTGTGTTGGAAAATCATGTGTTTCAACTCCTCCGTGTGTGTGTGTGTGTGTGTGTGTGTGTGTGTGTGTGTGTGTGTGTGTGTGTGTGTGTGTGTGTGTGTGTGTGTGTGTGTGTGTGTGTGTGTGTGTGTGTGTGTGTGTGTGTGTGTGTGTGTGTGTGTGTGTGTGTGTGTGTGTGTGTGTGTGTGTGTTTGTGGTCCAGAAGACCTGATAAAGAGCTTTATAAGTACAGTCCATTTACCTCCGTGTGTGATGTCTGTTTTTACTTTCTGTTTTCCCGCCTGTTTGTCTGATATATGTCTTCCCTTGTGTTCACTTTCTATACGTCGTCTCTGGTTCCTGATGTGTGGTTTTATTTGTTCCTTGTGTTATTCCCTGTGTTCCTGCCAATGCTCCTGCACAAGTTGGGTTTCCTTCTGATTTAATGTGATTTTAGATTATATTGTTTGGTTTGATGTAAATGTGTTAGTTTTCAAAGAGAGAGGATATCAGATGTTAGAGGGTCTGACAGGCAGTCCGTGTGGTTTATTTTTATAACCATAAAAGGTTCTATTTGGAACCTCAAATGGATTTTGTGGTACTGCAAAGAACAAAAATGTATGAAGACAGCAATAAATAGTTTTTTTCTGTTTTTCAGTCTGTTCGTCTCAACATTCTACAAACTGCCACAACACATACTCAGGCGATGCATACTACCACAATGATAAGGCACTCCGGATTGTGATGGTTGGGAAAACTGGAGTTGGGAAGAGCGCCACGGGAAACACCATTCTGGGACATAAGTACTTTAAATCAGATTTTTCTTTTAAATCTCTGACCGTACACTGTGCTAAGGCCTTTGGGGAAGTGGATGGACAAAAGGTTGCTGTCATTGACACTCCAGGTCTGTTTGACACCAGCACTGATGAAAACAAGACCAGAAACGATGTTGGCCAGAGCATTGCTTATGCTTCTCCTGGACCCCATGTCTTCCTGGTCGTCATCAAACTGGGCAGATTCACAGATGAAGAAAGGCAGTCAGTGAAGAAGATTCAGGAAATCTTTGGAGAGGAAGCCGACAGATACAGCATGGTCCTCTTTACCCACGGTGATCTGCTCGAAGACCAAACTATCGAAGAGTCCTTGAAGGAAAGCGAAGAGCTGCAGGAACTTGTGGCCAGATGTAACGGGCAGTACCACGTCTTCAATAATGAGGAGAAGGATCGTTCTCAGGTCAGAGAGCTGCTCGACAAGATCAGAAAGATAACAGAGAAGAACGGAGGAAGCCATTACACCAATGAAATGTTCCAGGAGGCAGAGAGGGCCATAGAAGAGGAAAAACGACGGATCCTTGAAGAGAGAGAAGAGGAAATGCGCAAAGAGAAGGAGGAAATGGAGAAGGAAATATCGGAAAAGTATGAGCAACAAATGAAGGAAGTGAAAGATGACAAAGAGAGGATGAAAAAGCTACTTGAAACTCGTGAAAGAGAAATGGAGGAGGAAAGGAGGAGATTAAGAGAAGAGCAGGAAAGGAGGGCCAGACAGAAAGCTGAGAACACCCCTTTCATAATTAGGCTTATAAAGGGCTTTATTAAATTCGTTACAGGTTGTGATGACAGCCGGTTTGCGTGAGACAGTCAGGCCTGATGCTGGACGGCAGCAGATTTAGCAAACCTTTGGCTGTCTGACTCCTTGTTAATCTTCACCGTAGATGCACAATATCTATCAGGTATTAACAGGTATATTTAATTATATAACTAAACTTTTGTCCAGTACCTTTTTAATTCCATAACGATGGCAGCCATAGACACTCGCCATGAAACAGGAAGTTGTTGTAACTTCATTGTACAGTCTCCAAACTACCAATGTTGAGTGCTTGATAAGTCATAGCACCACTTAAAGGCAACAGGTAGTCAGCCTCATGTGACAAACATCATGAAAATAACAATGTGTGGTCTACAATTGATGTTTAGTGACATTCTGTTTGTTAATAGTGTTTCTCCAGCACCACATAGTGGACATATAAAGTGGTGCAAGGTGTGCAATATCTCTAACTTCCAGCAAATCATACTCCATGCAACATATGTGATATTAATACTTTTTTTGTTTACCATAGAACATAAAGTCCATATATGGCATCTTTCTGGACTCTGGGTTTTGTGGTTTAATGGGTCATTTATCTCAGTGATGTAAGAAACGTGTGGAGTGCATGCATGTTTTTCAGGTAATCACTGTGACTGCACCACAGACAATGATAATTATGTAGAGATCGTGAATAATGTGTTGCTCAGTGATCATGAAATAAAGCTGATAATAAATGAGTAATGCTTTACTGACATCATTCGAGGTATATGTGTAAAAATACAATGAATCCTAAAGAATACAATACAATACTTTATTTATAGAGCACTTTAAACCTCCAGAACAAAGTGCTGTACAGTCAAATAAACAAAACAAAACATACACAACATAACACAGCACAGCTCACACACACCATAAAACAAGTACATGTAAAAACAATAGACAATTTAAAAGCAATAAAAGCAAGATGTTAATACGCTAAGGCACATGTGTCAAACTCAAGGCCCGGGGGACAAATCCGGCCCGTGGTAGATTTAATTTCGGCCCGCAGGATAATTTCTAATTACTATTAGATCTGGCCCGCCGGTATATTGCACACACACCTTCACTCAATCCTGAGGGTCTCCTCAGCTCAGAGCCTGAGCCCAAACATTGATGAACTTGCACCCAAGATGAGATATCTGGCTTGAGCTAGCATCACAGAGCAGCACACTGAGTTTCAATGGATGTTTCCTTCTGCACTTTCTTTCTTGAGACAACAGGGCATGTTTGGTTTTTTCTTTGAGGGAAATCGTTTTTTTGAAACTGTTGTTGGCCTGTGGAAAAATGTAATCATAAGAAATGACTCTGCAGATAGAGCCATAAGAAATTAATGCAACTGATTATTTAATGTTTAACGTTGTTTTTATAGGCAATCATTTAAGCTTTGTTAGTTCCAGGTTTCATATGTGCAATAAGTTCATTTCAATACGTTTTGCAATAAACATTGAACCAGTCCGGCCCTCGACTAGTACCCATTATTTTATTTTGGCCCACTATTTGAGTTTGACACCGCTGGGTTAGATTGTTAACCCTTGGTCGTTCAGCCTGATGACTACAGAAAAAAAGACTATCCTTTGTCAATATATATCAATCGAGTATCAAAAGAATACACAGTATGAAATGTAAATACTGAATTAAAACTCTACAATCGACCAATGTACTACCAAAACATGGTTACTATAACAAGTGTGCAAATGTATTTAGTTTCCTATCCATGTGAAACATTGTTAAGTGAGGGGGGGTATCTCACATCCTTTAGGGGAGTCCGGGGCATGACATATTTAAGATTTTGAAGTTAAATGCATCAAACTGGTCCTCTTTGATGGTAAAATTGAGATCTATGGATACATCTCTCAGCATAGATGGTTCTGGTCCACACTCCAATACAGTAGGTGGCGGTAAATCAAGAAGAGGAGAATCATTGTGTTAAGGTTGTTTAATAGGGTGTGGGATTCTGGCCAACTTCCTTCAGTGTGGAAAGAAGCGATAATAGTGCCCATCCGAAAGCCAGGGAAAGACCCTTCAGATCCATCTAGCTACAGACCTATTGCCCTGACATCTCATTTATGCAAAATTATGGAAAGAATGGTTACAGAAAGGTTAACATATATCTTAGAAAGTAAAGCTCTGTTGTCCCCATATCAAAGTGGGTTTCGTAGGGGTCGGAATACAATGGATTCTATATTGTGCTTAGAATCAGACATCAGGAAAGCACAGACCAACAAGGAAGTAGTGATTGCAGTCTTCTTTGATATTGAAAAGGCTTATGACATGCTCTGGAAGGAAGGACTACTAATCAAGTTAAAATCATTGGGAATTGGTGGTAAAGCATATAATTGGGTTATGAATTTTTTACTGGACAGGAAAATACAAGTAAGAGTAGGTGCAGAGTACTCAAGTGTTTATGATGTGGAGAATGGTACTCCGCAAGGTAGTGTATGTAGTCCGTTGCTGTTCAATATAATGATACATGACATTTTTAATCAAGTTCATCCAAGTGTGGGAAAATCTTTGTATGCAGATGATGGGGCTTTGTGGGCAAAAGGTCGCAATGTAGCACATGTTGGAAAGAAAATACAAGCTGCAATAGTTGAAGTGGAGAAATGGACAAATAAATGGGGATTCAAACTGTCAGTAGCTAAAACGCAGGTCATTTGTTTTACAAAACGGCATAAAATTGCTCCTATATCGTTAAAATTGTATGAGCAACCTCTTGAACAGGTTAATACAATAAGATTTCTTGGTGTTTGGTTTGACGGAAAGCTAACATGGAGCAATCATATAGGCAAAGTTCAAAATAAATGTAAAAAGGTCAACAATGTACTTCGGTGTTTGGCGGGACAGGAGTGGGGAGCGAGTAGATCATCACTTCTGAATATATATTGGGCACTCATGAGACCTGTAGTAGATTATGGGTGTATAGCGTTCATGGCAGCAGCAGAATCAAACCTTAAAAAACTGGATGTCCTACAAGCTCAGGCCCTGAGAATATGTAGTGGAGCTTTTAAAACATCTCCAGTATCAGCAATACAGGTGGAAATGGGAGAAATGCCTTTAAGGATAAGAAGAGTTAAGTTAATGTTGGCATACTGGGTAAACCTTCAGGGGCATTGTGATAGTCATCCTGCGAAAAGTATTTTGAAAGACTGCTGGGAGCACAATGAGTCACATTTAACAAGTTTTGGATGGATTGGTGATGTTAAAGCAGCAAGTATAGGTTTGAATAAAATACAGTATTGCCCCACAGTTCCAATCTCGTCCATTCCACCCTGGTTATTCCCATTGCCAAGGGTAGACCTCAATATACAAAGGGAGTTGAAGGAAAAGAAAGAACTACTACCAGTATGGCGCATAGTCCAGAATTATTTTGCAAGTAATTACTCAGACTCAACAATCATATTTACAGATGGCTCCAAAGATCCAGAGACAGGGCGTGCAGGGGCAGCAGTTTATATCCCAGTGAGTAATACACATATAAAGAAAAGGGTAACAGACCATGTGTCAGTATACACGACAGAGTTGTGGGCATTGGTGTTGGCATTGAAATGGATAGAGGGGAAAGAAATACATAATAGTGTAATTGCATCGGACAGTTTTTCAGCATTATCGAGTATACGATCAGGCAGATCTTCATTTAGAATGGACATAATAAATGAAATATTTCTAATTTTATATAAAATGCAAATCAAAGGCATAGCAACTAGTTTCATCTGGGTTCCTGCTCATGTTGGTGTGGAGGGTAATGAACAGGTGGATATTCTGGCCAAACAAACACTCAGAATTATGAACATAGACATAGAAGTTCCACTTAGCAAAGCGGAGGTTAAAACATTCATACATAAATATGCACAAACAACATGGCAAGAACATTGGGACCTTAGTCATACAGGAAGACATCTTTATACAATTCAAAGGTATGTGGGGGATGGAAGGAAGGTGGGGTTTAAAAGAAGGGAGGAAAATGTCATTTCTCGGATGAGAATAGGTCATACAGGTCTCAATCATACATTGAGTAGAATAGGAAAGCATCCAACCGGAAAGTGTATACACTGTAGCCAGCCAGAAACTGTGGAACATGTTTTAATGATTTGTGGGAAATATAGTGTTCAGAGAGGTGTGTTTTTCCAGACACTGAAGAGGGCAGGATTCAGTGACTTGTCGATGTCGGGGCTGTTGGGGAAAACATCAGGCAATATTTATTGTGAGATTATTAAGTTTTTAAGAGAAACTGATACATTTAAAATAATCTAGAGTTTTGGTTATTTTTTGTTTTGTTTTGTTTGGTTTGTTTGTTTGTTTTGTTTTTGTTTGTTTTGTTGTGTTTTATTTCTTTTGTTTATTGTTTTCTGGATAGTCTCTTGTCCACACTCCAGTCCAGTTGGTGGCGGTAATGCACCTATAAATTGGTTTGCCAACCGCCAATAAAATCTAAAGAAGAAGAAGAAGATAGATGGTTCTGGTCCACACCATGGATGTATAATAAGAACTGGATACAGCGTGGGAGGCGGGGCCTCATTCATTCCTATGAGAGTTGCTCATTCGCGCATGATGATAAAATGGCCCAACTTTTGAGAGAGCGAAACGTCACAGATTACCCGGCATGCCTGAGAAGTACCCGTATGTGCGCTCATAGCGCATGCGCAACTTTAACCATGCCCCCCAAAATGCTCGTTCACATCAAACACGTCAATTTGCGTACACGTAACAGCACCGCACGTTCATGACAGCATGGTAATGTTTGTTATGATAGATTTGATATTAACGAGGCGGCAGTTAGCAGCTAGCGGTTAGCTAGTAATTATGCTAATTTACACATCAATCGTTATGTACTTTTATATTACGCTGTAACAGGATCTAGTGATATCCAAGCAACAGAGCTTCATTTAGCATGAAAGAATTATTGCACTGTATATATATATATATATATATATATATATATATATATATATATATATATATATATATATATACACAGTGCAATAAGAAGCTACAGGGACGTTAATCTACGTCGGTAATATTAACTTTATTTAATACAACATTTACGGTACAAGATTTAATAATACAGCCCATGTAGTATAATATTTTACAAATGATGAATTACAGTAAACATGTGCAATATATCCATTATTACAGCTCCGTGGGCTGACAGTAAGGCCATATGGGTCCGTTCTTATTGTGCATCCATGGGTAAAGATAAACGCATGTAGTGCTGAACACGTAACATGAACGTGCCGGGAGGCGCGGTCCCGTGGGTTAGATGCGCGTTCATAATGCAGAGGGAAATAACTCTCAGAATAACGTTATTAGCACATTTTACAACTTGAGGAACGAATGTTTTTAATAAGGGCTATACAAGTGTTCATACTGGGTAGTTTATTTAGTTTAAAAAAAATTATCCAACGATTTACAGACCACTCTTTCCCCATGTAAGTCAATGGGAAAAAGTGTTTCCGGGCCTGGCAACCAAAAGGAAGTGTAGTACCGCCGTGTGGCCAGCACGAATATTTTCATCAGAGTCCGGCGCACTTCCTGGGGGCTTGGTCCACACTCCAATACAGTAGGTGGCGGTAAATCAAGAAGAGGAGAAGTTCACCCTGTGAAGAGAGCCTCACGTGTTTCCTTCATTTCTCCATGCGTATTGTGCTGTAGAAAGCAAGACAGGAGCTAATTTATCCAAACAAGAGATTAAAACACTTTCTTCAGAGGAGACAGTTCACTAAACAGGTGAGTAGACATGTTTTAAACTGTCGGTTGGTTTGAGTATTTTGAATGTCGCAGATTCTAACGGTTTTTAACGGATGTTTACTTAGCCTAAAGTGTTGGTTGCTAGTCGATGTTAGCTTAGCTTGTCTAAAAATCACCAATACAATTGAATAGTTCGTGTTTTTATTATTTGTACGTGTGTTTAGTTGTAGTTGGTGGCGTTAGGGATCTATTTCAGTTCATTTTATTACGTAATTTAGTGCTTTTATCAGAGCGCTAGCTGTTGTTTAGCTAGGTAGGCTAACCGACAACTGACCAGACTTCATCTTAAAGGAGTTACACACAGGCAGTATGGGACAAATAAATAACATTTAAAGCATAGAAACAAGTTACAGGAGAGACACTAAATACCAGTGGTGTAAAGTAACTAAGTGTATTTACTCAAGTTCTGTACTCGAGCACAATTTCGAGGTACATTTTTTACTACGACTTAGGTAAATCATGTACTTTTCCTCCATTAGATGTATTTAATACCTTTAGTTACTTCACAGATGTGGATGAATGATGTGAAATATAATCAAGTGTTAAATCAGACTTTAGTTCCACCTGGAGTAAATCCACAAGCTACCCTGCAGTATACAAAGTCATTCAAACTAGCTGCACCTTTACCAGCTTTGAGAACACTTTAATGATCAATCATTATAAAACATATCATATATATTATTCTGAAATGGACCAATCTGCACAAAGACTACTTTTACTGTCGCTACTTTAACTATATTTTGATGATAATACTTTTATACTTTTACTTGAGTAAAATGTAGAAAAGTATTATCATGTTAATCACATAGCTATCATATGCCTAAAACAGTCCTGATGCTCTTCTAGGTAATCAGACATCCTGTCATGTACACAGCTACAGTTGGGATACCTTTTGTTATCATGTGTACTCTCATATTACTATTTACTATGACATTCAGTATTTTCCCAACAGTAAACAATCTTATTTCAACATCCCCCTTGTTTCCCTCAGGTTGCCATGTCCTCCTACACCTGCATCAGCTGCAGAGTGGCGTTCACAGATGGCGAGGTGCAGCGGGCGCATTATAAAACCGACTGGCATCGCTACAACCTGAAGCGTAAAGTCGCCGACATGCCGCCGGTCACCGCGGAAAACTTCCAGGAGCGAGTCCTGTCTCAGCGAGTGGCCGCGGAGAAACAGCTGAGCGATACGGCGGCCACCGAGGGCTGTGCCGTCTGCAGCAAGAAGTTCTCCAGCATCAACGCCTACCAGAACCACCTGCAGGTCCAAAACACCTCATCCATCTGTTTGCAACTTATGAACATATTATATAGTATCAGGTCTAAAACCACCTCATCCATCTGTTTGCAACTCACACACATATTATATAGTATCAGGTCTAAAACCACCTCATCCATCTGTTTGCAACTTATGAACATATTATATAGTATCAGGTCTAAAACCACCTCATCCATCTGTTTGCAACTCACACACATATTATATAGTATCAGGTCTAAAACCACCTCATTCATCTGTTTGCAACTCACACACATATTATAAGTCTTCAATTTGAGTTGGTGAAACCGGCAGGAACCTTGAACACATCAATCTTATTACAAATACAAATTAATTTAGTTTTACTTGCACAATTGTATTATGTTGCTCTGTTGGAGGAGCCTGTGACGTCAGATGTTCATATACATATCTCCACTGTAGCTAAAGTGCAAATGACAATAAAAGCCTTGAAACTTAAAATCTTGAATCTGCAGTCCCACAAACACCTGCAGGCGGAGAAGCAGGCGCTGCTCGCCGCCCAGAAGAAGGTGGACAAGATGAACGAGAAGAACCTGGAGAAGGGACTCGGCGAGGAGAAGGAGGATCGAGACGCAAGAAACGAGGCGCTGCAGCAGGTGCTGAAGGAGCAGCAACGACCCGGTCCAGCGGCTCAGGCAGAGAAGAAGCCGAGGACAGCGGAGCAGCTGGAGTGTCCTCCGAGGATGATGTGGCTGGAGGAGCAAGCCAAGAGGAGGGAGAAGGACACTGGAGCGACAGCAGCTGTGGAAGGTAAGGAAGAGAGACGAGGGAGGGTTTCAGAATTCTAACTTTTTGATTTATGAAGAAAGAAAGCAGTTAGCCAAGAAGCTATTTTTCATCTGTCGTCCCTGGACAGATTTTGTATTTCAACCTAAAGACACATTTCATTTTAAACAAGTAAATACAATCAAATAGAAACATGCAACAAACATGACTGGAATACTTAAGGGTCACCTACTATACAAAATCCACTTCTTCATGTCTCTTCTACATCAACATGTGTCCCCTCTTCTTCATGTCTCTTCTACATCAACATGTGTCCCCTCTTCTTCATGTCTCTTCTACATCAACATGTGTCCCCTCTTCTTCATGTCTCTTCTACATCAACATGTGTTCCCTCTTCCTCATGTCTCTTCTACATCACCATGTGTCCCCTCTTCTTCATGTCTCTTCTACATCAACATGTGTCCCCTCTTCTTCATGTCTCTTCTACATCAACATGTGTCCCCTCTTCTTCATGTCTCTTCTACATCAACATGTGTCCCCTCTAATTCATGTCTCTTCTTCATCAACATGTGTCCCCTCTTCTTCATGTCTCTTCTACATCAACATGTGTCCCCTCTTCTTCATGTCTCTTCTACATCAACATGTGTCCCCTCTTCTTCATGTCTCTTCTACATCAACATGTGTCCCCTCTTCTTCATGTCTCTTCTGCATCAACATGTGTCCCCTCTTCTTCATGTCTCTTCTACATCAACATGTGTCCCCTCTTCTTCATGTCTCTTCTACATCAACATGTGTCCCCTCTTCTTCATGTCTCTTCTGCATCAACATGTGTCCCCTCTTCTTCATGTCTCTTCTACATCAACATGTGTCCCCTCTTCTTCATGTCTCTTCTACATCAACATGTGTCCCCTCTTCTTCATGTCTCTTCTTCATCAACATGTGTCCCCTCCTCTTCATGTCTCTTCTACATCAACATGTGTCCCCTCTTCTTCATGTCTCTTCTACATCAACATGTGTCCCCTCCTCTTCATGTCTCTTCTACATCAACATGTGTCCCCTCTTCTTCATGTCTCTTCTTCATCAACATGTGTCCCCTCTTCTTCATGTCTCTTCTTCATCAACATGTGTCCCCTCTTCTTCATGTCTCTTCTACATCAACACGTGTCCCCTCTTCTTCATGTCTCTTCTACATCAACATGTGTCCCCTCTTCTTCATGTCTCTTCTACATCAACATGTGTCCCCTCTTCTTCATGTCTCTTCTACATCAACATGTGTCCCCTCTTCTTCATGTCTCTTCTACATCAACATGTGTCCCCTCTTCTTCATGTCTCTTCTACATCAACATGTGTCCCCTCTTCTTCATGTCTCTTCTACATCACCATGTGTCCCCTCTTCTTCATGTCTCTTCTACATCAACATGTGTCCCCTCTTCTTCATGTCTCTTCTACATCAACATGTGTCCCCTCTTCTTCATGTCTCTTCTTCATCAACATGTGTCCCCTCTTCTTCATGTCTCTTCTTCATCAACATGAGTCCCCTCTTCTTCATGTCTCTTCTACATCAACATGTGTCCCCTCTTCTTCATGTCTCTTCTACATCCACATGTGTCCCCTCTTCTTCATGTCTCTTCTACATCCACATGTGTCCCCTCTTCTTCATGTGTCCCCTCTTCTTCATCAACATGTGTCCCCTCTTCCTCATGTCTCTTCTACATCACCATGTGTCCCCTCTTCTTCATGTCTCTTCTACATCAACATGTGTTCCCTCTTCCTCATGTCTCTTCTACATCACCATGTGTCCCCTCTTCTTCATGTCTCTTCTTCATCAACATGTGTCCCCTCTTCTTCATGTCTCTTCTACATCACCATGTGTCCCCTCTTCTTCATGTCTCTTCTACATCAACATGTGTCCCCTCTTCTTCATGTCTCTTCTACATCAACATGTGTCCCCTCTTCTTCATGTCTCTTCTACATCAACATGTGTTCCCTCTTCCTCATGTCTCTTCTACATCACCATGTGTCCCCTCTTCTTCATGTCTCTTCTACATCAACATGTGTCCCCTCTTCTTCATGTCTCTTCTACATCAACATGTGTTCCCTCTTCCTCATGTCTCTTCTACATCACCATGTGTCCCCTCTTCTTCATGTCTCTTCTTCATCAACATGTGTCCCCTCTTCTTCATGTCTCTTCTACATCACCATGTGTCCCCTCTTCTTCATGTCTCTTCTACATCAACATGTGTCCCCTCTTCTTCATGTCTCTTCTTCATCAACATGTGTCCCCTCTTCTTCATGTCTCTTCTACATCAACATGTGTCCCCTCTTCTTCATGTCTCTTCTACATCAACATGTGTCCCCTCTTCTTCATGTCTCTTCTACATCAACATGTGTCCCCTCTTCTTCATGTCTCTTCTACATCAACATGTGTCCCCTCTTCTTCATGTCTCTTCTACATCAACATGTGTCCCCTCTTCTTCATCAACATGTGTCTCCTCTTCTTCATGTCTCTTCTACATCAACATGTGTCCCCTCTTCTTCATGTCTCTTCTTCATCAACATGTGTCCCCTCTTCTTCATGTCTCTTCTACATCAACATGTGTCCCCTCTTCTTCATGTCTCTTCTACATCAACATGTGTCCCCTCTTCTTCATGTCTCTTCTACATCAACATGTGTCCCCTCTTCTTCATGTCTCTTCTACATCAACATGTGTCCCCTCTTCTTCATGTCTCTTCTACATCAACATGTGTCCCCTCTTCTTCATGTCTCTTCTACATCAACATGTGTCCCCTCTTCTTCATGTCTCTTCTACATCAACATGTGTCCCCTCTTCTTCATGTCTCTTCATCAACATGTGTCCCCTCTTCTTCATGTCTCTTCTACATCAACATGTGTCCCCTCTTCTTCATGTCTCTTCTTCATCAACATGTGTCCCCTCTTCTTCATGTCTCTTCTACATCAACATGTGTCCCATCTTCTTCATGTCTCTTCTTCATCAACATGTGTCCCCTCTTCTTCATGTCTCTTCTACATCAACATGTGTCCCCTCTTCTTCATGTCTCTTCTTCATCAACATGTTGTCCCTCTTCTTCATGTCTCTTCTTCATCAACATGTGTCCCCTCTTCTTCATGTCTCTTCTACATCAACATGTGTCCCCTCTTCCTCATGTCTCTTCTACATCACCATGTGTCCCCTCTTCTTCATGTCTCTTCTTCATCAACATGTGTCCCCTCTTCCTCATGTCTCTTCTACATCAACATGTGTCCCCTCTTCTTCATGTCTCTTCTACATCACCATGTGTCCCCTCTTCTTCATGTCTCTTCTTCATCACCATGTGTCCCCTCTTCTTCATGTCTCTTCTACATCAACATGTTCCCCTCTTCTTCATGTCTCTTCTTCATCAACATGTGTCCCCTCTTCCTCATGTCTCTTCTACATCAACATGTGTCCCCTCTTCTTCATGTCTCTTCTACATACATCACCATGTGTCCCCTCTTCTTCATGTCTCTTCTTCATCATACATGTGTCCCCCTCTTCTCATGTCTCTTCTACATCAACCATGTGTCCCCTCTTCTTCAGGTCTCTTCTACATCAACATGTGTTCCCTCTTCCTCATGTCTCTTCTACATCACCATGTGTCCCCCTCTTCTTCATGTCTCTTCTTCATCAACATGTGTCCCCTCTTCTTCATGTCTCTTCTACATCACCATGTGTCCCCTCTTCTTCATGTCTCTTCTACATCAACATGTGTCCCCTCTTCTTCATGTCTCTTCTACATCAAACATGTGTTCCCCTCTTCTTCATTGTCTCTTCTACATCAACATGTGTTCCCCTCTTCCTCATGTCTCTTCTACATCACCAATGTGTCCCCTCTTCTTCATGTCTCTTCTACATCAACATGTGTCCCCTCTTCTTCATGTCTCTTCTACATCAACATGTGTTCCCTCTTCCTCATGTCTCTTCTACAATCCACCATGTGTCCCCCTCTCTTCATGTCTCTTCTTCATCAACATGTGTCCCCTCTTCTTCATGTCTCTTCTACATCACCATGTGTCCCCTCTTATTCATGTCTCTTCTACATCAACATGTGTCCCCTCTTCTTCATGTCTCTTCTTCATCAACATGTGTCCCCTCTTCTTCATGTCTCTTCTACATCAACATGTGTCCCCTCTTCTTCATGTCTCTTCTACATCAACATGTGTCCCCTCTTCTTCATGTCTCTTTCTACATCAACATGTGTCCCCCTCTTCTTCATGTCTCTTCTACATCAACATGTGTCCCCTCTTCTTCATGTCTCTTCTACATCAACATGTGTCCCCTCTTCTTCATCAACATGTGTCTCCTCTTCTTCATGTCTCTTCTACATCAACATGTGTCCCCTCTTCTTCATGTCTCTTCTTCATCAACATGTGTCCCCTCTTCTTCATGTCTCTTCTACATCAACATGTGTCCCCTCTTCTTCATGTCTCTTCTTCATCAACATGTGTCCCCTCTTCTTCATGTCTCTTCTTCATCAACATGTGTCCCCTCTTCTTCATGTCTCTACTACATCAACATGTGTCCCCTCTTCTTCATGTCTCTTCTACATCAACATGTGTCCCCTCTTCTTCATGTCTCTTCTTCATCAACATGTGTCCCCTCTTCTTCATGTCTCTTCTTCATCAACATGTGTCCCCTCTGTCTAAAGAGACTCTGAAAGTCTCAGGAACAAAGATTCTCTCTCTTTTTGATCCATTTCTATAAAAACCTGTCTGAAAATGAGCTGATCAGATTTTGGTCACTTGATGATGTCATAACGATGTTTTGTCTTGTGTAACCATTAGCCAATCAGCAACCAAGGTAACCCCCCCCCCCCCCCCTTATCACCTGAATCTCCTCCTAGAGCACCATTGAGTTCTTTGTAACCAAATCTCTCTCAGAGGGGCGTGGGGAGGGGCTCCTTATTTTCATCTAAAGTAACAGACAGAGAATCAGCACTTTGGAAACAGGGCTAAAAGAAATAAAGCTTCTGACTCCAATATTTTCCCTTAACAATCTTCCAGAAGAGTGGGAAGACGTTGAGGGGGAGGATGATGATATGGAGGAAGAGGAGGAGGAGGATGATGAGGAGGAAGAGGAGACGATGGACCAGGAGGAAGGGGCTGCTGCTGCCGTCTCCGCCCCACGTCCAGCTGCTCTGCCGGGATCCATCCCCGTCACAGACTGCCTGTTCTGCTCACACCACTCCAAGTCTCTGATGAAGAACGTGGCCCACATGACGCGAGTCCACAGCTTCTTCATCCCCGACCTCGAGTTCCTCGTCGACCTCAAGGGCCTCATGCGGTACCTCGGTGAGTTGTGGAGGTGAATGAACTCCAGGTGGAAGCTGCACAATGGCTAAAACAAGCTGATTTACGGTTCAATCTTTTGACTGGTTTTTACAATTCAAAGCTTTTTCTTAATTTTTAATACAGTTTTTAAGATTTAATCACATCCTTATTAGTGTTTTAACCTCAGCTTGATTATTTTTTTTAATCTAGTCTTAGTCCTGCGCCAAATGGCCTTTTAGATGTTAAAAAAAAAATACACATGTATATATTTTGTACTGAATTTAATTTTTTTTATTGCATTTATTTCTAGTCCTGTGAGAAATGCCTTTTTTTTTTTTTATTATTAATTGAACCTCTACCAATTTCCTTGTCCTCGTTCAAATGTCCTTGTAACTTTTATATTATCATATAGTTTTAGTTGACTTAAAGTCTGGGCATGTTAGTCTTATCTCAGTTAAACAAAACTATCTTTTCAGTTTATTCAAAGTGATTTACAGTTCATTCCTTTGACTGGTTTTACAATTTCCCTTTATTTATTCAAAGCTTTTTCTTAACTTGTAATACAGTTTTTAAGACTTAAAGGTGGGGTAGGTCATTTTGGAGAAACCGGCTCGAGTGCGCTAGAATTTGAAAATACACAGCCGGAAAAAATCTGCCACTCCCTTACAGAGCCCCTCCTCCAACACACACGAACGCGCACATGACCAATGAGGGCACGAGATAAGTTTGTGCACAGATGGAAGGCTGACAGGCAGGTAGGCCATCCAGTTATTTTAGCCGGGCCGGCTCAGATGATTGGTTGTGCTTTTTACAGTACTACAGCTTCCACAGATGATATTTCTTTATGGATTTTTTGTCAAAGCACTTAAAGTGAACCTATCATGCTATATTTGAATAATATATTGTAGGGCCATACCTATATAAAACATGTCTGTGAGTTTTTTTTTTCAAAATACCAAACAGATCATGCATTTTAGCCATGCCTCATTTCGCTCTATTTGCTGTATTCCAGCCCTGTTTTTGCAAGGGCTGATTCTGTGGCAAATGAGCTGCAGCTGACCACGCCGCCCTGCAAAGGAGGGGGGCGAGGCACGAGCGTCATGTTACCATGCTGTTACCATGCCGTTACCATGCCACGGCAAACTCTCATTCCCCTGATAGGTGGAGCGTGGCCCATGTAGGCGGAGCGTCACCGCCCACTATTCCGGTTTCTCAAACTTACCTACCCTACCTTTAATAACATCCTGTTCTAACCTCAGTTTGTTTATTTTTTAGATTAACTTTAATTATTTAATTGTTTTGTCCCGTGTAAAATGTCCTTAGTTGTTTTAAAAAGACATCCTCTCAATTTAAATCACATTTTAAATGTTTTATTGCCTTTTATTTCTAGTCCTGTGAGAAAAGCCTTTTTCTTAGTTTATTGATTATTTATTGAACATCTGCTAGTTTTAAAAAGACAAACCATATTTGTTCATTTCTATAAATGTAGTTCTTGTCCTTGTTCAAATGTCCTTGTTACTTTTATATTATCATATTAAAGGTGGGGTAGGTAAGTTTGAGAAACCGGCTCGAGATACACTTTTTGTTATATTCCATGGAATGCTCTTAACATCCTGATAGCAATGAATATCTGAAGTGCTTTGACAAAAAAAATCCATAAAAAAATATCATCTGTGGAAGCCGTAGTTCTGTGAAAATCAAATCAGGTTTTATTTATAAAGCACATTTAAAAGCGATTTTTGGTCGAGCCAAAGTGCTGTACATGTAATAAAAACACATCACTACAAACACAGTAAACGACAATAAATTACAACAGATATATATAAAAATTTATCACAGAGAGTAGTCGATGGGACAATAGAAGAAACATCACAGGGATTAATGATCGAGTTGAGGACATTAAAAAGAACCTGAGGTTTATGGCTGTTTTTTGGAGATTAACAGAGAAATGTGCTCTGTTTTGGCTGCTTTGACTGCCGTCTGGTAGTCAGAAAGGCAAGCACGAAGGATTTCTTTTTTTCCGGTATGCCTTCAGATGGACCAGTGCACCACCACGCTTTCCCCGTCATCTAAAGCGCTTTCGGCGAGGCAGGATGCAGGGCGACCGGCGCAGGTAAGTGGGGATATCCGACAGTAGAGGGGGGGGGGGACGATTTATGGTTGCCAGATGTCGGTTTGGGCAGCAATATCAACTCCAGTGAGGGTCTGAGGTGGAGGAGAGCTTGGCGATCATAAACGAGCAGAGCAGAGACATTCTGACAAACATAAAACAAAAACAGGATAGCTAAAGGTAGAGAGCTCAGCGAGCGGCGAGCCGACACAGGCACCATCTTGAAAAAAGGTTGGAACACTGTGGAGCAAGGTGTGAGATCTGTGTTTTCTTTGTTTCCATGATACAGTCTGACCCTCTGGAATACCTACTTGTTAATCTTCACAGTCCCCTTTTTGATTTTGTTGTTTGATGTGATTTATAGTAATATCAGTTATTTCTGTGGTGAGTTTTACTTTTTAGAGAATAGCATTTATCTAAAGGTGAAAAATATGTTCAACTTATTTCAGAAACATGTCAGAACCAAAATGTATTAACAAAACTGTATGTAATTAAACTCAAGAATGTGTTGTAACTCATTTAGTGGCTTGCTCATGGGCACTTGTGCAGTACCCTGGAAGTGAACCAGCAACCCTTCTGTCCCAATGTCAAGGCACTACAGACTGAGCCACTGCTGCCCATTTCAGGTAAAGATTAGGCTTTGGAACGGGAATACATTATTCAACACAATGTCCCCTTGAGTAATGAAAACAAATGTGTGTGTGTATGTTTGTGTTATGTCTCTGGAAACACACAAAGTTATATTTTTAAGTCCATTTACTCAAATATTCAAAGATGATTTTGTAGTACTTGTTGCCCAAATCCAGGCTAAAAACTAAGGGAAGACTTTTAAGCGTATATACGTTTTTTTCTTCATTTAAGAAAAGAGGTCGAGCTACTTTTATTACATACAATCATACAGCAGGCCTCAAAAGCCTTGACTCACCAATGAAGGGCTCTCACATCATAGGATGTTCCAAAATTAGACTCAGGATAAGGTAAAATGTTGTGTTAGTGCACTGAAAATAAAATGTTATGAGATGGAGGATTTTTATTTGCACCTTAAGTATTATTTAATGATGCACCTACGTAGGGCAGTCTGCTGTATTGAGCATCAAAAAAGGAGAAACCGTTTCTTTAACATGCCTTGAACATTCAAATACATTGATTTCATAATGAAGACACACAGCAATGTATAATGTATCCTCTTGAATGATTCATGTAATGCCTTGTATTAGCATAATATGACTATAGACATGTTTGTTTATCAGTGAAAAAATGATCAGTTAGCTGAGTTTCTTCCCGTTACATGGATATAAAACATTCATAGTTTATTAAATATTAAGAAGCCCTCAGACACTGTTTCCTGAAGATGATGCGTTTTTCCGGGTCGATGGGGTTCAACAGGTTAAACTTAGTTCAAAGACATGCCAGAACCAAAATGCATTAACAAAATGTGCTTTTATGTAATTAAATTCAAGAATGTCAATAAAATGTTGTAACTCAATCTGTGGCTTCATTTATTCAAAATCAGTTTGTGTACCTGTATTAGTGATGTTGTGGGGTCCATGAGTATACAGTCACTTGTGGGGACTTACCTTTTGTTTGGCGGCAAAATTAAAATCTTTACAATGTAAATCCTTGGCATCATTACAATAATACTTATACTACTAGCACACAATAACAGCTAAACAAACATAATGTAACACTCACACAGGGTCATTATGTCACCCAAGCGTTTTTGGTACTTCTAGTACATTTAGCTGATAATGCTATTTTAATATTTATTGAATAAAAATGATAAATGTAGGCCTTGCAGTAATATTTTCCCTTTCTTCTTCCACCACTGTTTACCAGCCACATGAGGGTGCTGTATCTCAAGGTTTGAAATCAAAGTTCACCTTTCTCTGTTTCACAGCATCTGAGCTTAATTAGGTCACACATTTCAACTCTCATATCATACCTTCGACAACAGTGATTTTTTGCTAAACATTTATACAGTACCTTTGACATATAACCACTTAAGCCCGATTGCCCCTGCCGGCAGAGGAGGAAAGGCTAAAAGCAGCTATCAAAAGAGAAATGGAGGAGGAGGAGAGGAGGAGAATAAGAGCAGAGGAGGAAAGGAGGGCCAGGAGGGATGCTGAGGACAGACCTTCAAAAATTGACAACATTTGTACCGTTGTGGAAAATATTTGGGGTTGGTTTTTTGGATAAACAAACAGTTGCACGGGTTTTCATGATACAGTCTGACCCTCTGGAATACCTCCTTGTTAATCTTCACAGTCACCTTTTTGATGTTGTTTGTTGTGATTTATAGTAATATAAGTGATTTCAGTGGATTGTTACAATTAAATACAGGGTGACAGATCGTCAACAACCAAGATGTTAAAATTCTAAACTATAGTAATGAACTGTAAACTAATTTGTTCTTTGATAGCTTTTACTTTTACAAGAAAAAATAAAACTGTATACATCATGAATTAAAGCTTTTAAAATGTTATACGGATATGTTTTCTTTGGCTTTCCACAATAACTGAAGGCGTAATGTCAATGTTGGCTTTTGTAAAATGAAAGGTTAAAATGTAGGTATGCAATGAATTGTGTAATTCAATATGAAAAGGTTGGAACAGAAATGAATCTGTAAAGACAAACATCTAGTTATAAATAATGTCCCATAATAAAAGACTGTTGAGTTCACATCGAGTGTATTATGTGCTTCTGTTGTTTAATAAAGGATCTAAAATATTTGTTTAGGGTCTATCTTAATAGAAATCACAGTATTAATCACCACTGGGTCTCAAGTATTTTGGATCTGGGTCTCAAGGATTTTCCATTATTGACCTTTATATCCAGAAAATACCTCAAACTCATTAATGATCTCAATAATAGCTGAACGTTTTCCTTGGTTTGGACAACAGTCACCAATCACTACAGCTGGCAACTATGAACTTATGAATAGGGTACATTTACAATATTCTATACACTAAGCATCAGGTTCCATTAATGGGTCAATGTCTTCTCATTTTTTAATAAGTAAAAGTATAACATAAGGATGCCCTTTATCTCCTTCATCATTTGCATTAGTAATGGAGC